TCTTTCCCTCAGGGGTCAGAATGTTCTTCAGCCATTCGTACGTCATGAAGTACATTCCGCTGGCTGGGACATCTAGCGGGTAAACAACAAAGACTGTGAGTAGTGGGAAACAAAATGAAGCCTAGAGGCACAGCAGCCCCATGCCAGCTCAGCATCACCACTAAGTACATCCAGATTCCTTTTCCGAACCTCCTCTACAAACAAAATAAAATCTTCTGTTGCTTTAGACAGAGGAGCCTGAACTTTCCCAGGGACAGCAGGTGCTAAAGGCAAGAACTGAGAAAATATCTTTCTTTCGAGCACTCTGTCAGCAGCCTTTCAAATCAGGCTGTAACCTGCCTGCTGGCCATTAAGCTATTGATGAGTTCTAATGGTTCTTAACTGCTGCAGAGCAGCGCAGAGCAGTTTAGGAACTTCAAGATTTTTGCACACTATTTGTTCTAATGATTCTGCTTTGGGGTTTTTTTGTAGCTGAGGGGTTTTGGTTTAGGTTTTTTTAAGGTACTCCCACAGCCCAACCTTAGTTCATGCCTAAACTGGACAATCAGTCTCTAGCTAGGGTCGCTGACAGAGTTACATTGCTGGCTGCTACACTTTTACGAGAAGCAGAGGATAGAACAAATTCCTAAAATGAGGTATCAAAACACAGAAATTTCAGCTTTTCCTTGGAAAACACTGCCCCAGTACAGTGAACAATCTAACACTTCTCAAAAAAGAAAGTACTGAAACATGTAAAGGATTCAGTGTCTGGCACAATTACTTTGTTGTTGTGAGAGTGCAACAGTCACAGACAGTCTCAAACCATCTCCCAAAGCAGGAGGAAAAAAAAAAAAAGGGAAAAAAAGCGCCCACTTCTGTATTTTTCTTTTCTCTTTGTTCTCTCTGCTCCTCTCCTGAAGTCTCTCATCCCTCTTGCCTCCTCAGATCTTAATTACTTCCTATATCCCTCTGATCCTTGTCATCTAATCTCCTCCTCACTCACTGAGAAGCTCATGTTTATTTCTCAGTCCCTTTGAGGCATTGGAGTAGCTCTGCAGACTGCAAAAAAAAGAAAAGAGGGTGACACAGCATCTCCAATTGGCTAAAGGGACAGCAAGATCGGATACCATGTCAGGCTTCTCATCTTAAAGTATCCCACACAGAAGAAGCATCAGCACGTCTCCACCATTACCTCTCATGAGGGTGAGCACTGTCCCCTTGTACACACCACGAATCCCGGCCTCGCGGTACAGCTGTTTTGCACAGTCCAAAGAGCCACTGTATTTAGTTTCACCTGTAGCTGCTTGGATCTGAAGGATTAAAGTGATAGTTTCTGACTAGTGAAGGTTTCTGGCTGGGGAACAATCATTCAGCCAACAGTTAGAAAGCCACGTGCATGTTTCCAGAGAGGAAAAGGCGCACACTCATTCCACAGGCGCTCCTGCATATGAAACCTCTGCGTCGTTTCCTCGAACAGCTCTCTCTCATTCAAGCTGAGGATAATGTTTACTGTTCCATGCAGAGGCTAGATTCTCCCTTACTTTATCCTGAGTGTAAGTTTGAAACAACCAAAGTCAGTTAGGTCATTCTACACTTGCACTGACAAAAAAGTAGTCTTCAAATAGTTTAGTGAAATTCAAACAATTTGCACGTGTATAAAAGCTTCCATGATAATATCATGTCTGCCAGAACTAATATGTGACCACCCATCACCATACTAACAGAGGTCAGCATACTCTGAAATAAGCAAACCTTCCCGTCTCTGCTAAAGACAATATTTTAATTTGTTCGGGTTTGCATTTTCCAACAATACTCTAAAAACTCTGGAGGAGGTGTAGAGCTAACAGTCACCCAAACATTAGAAAACTATTTCATATATTTTGAAATGCATTCCTCAGTTATGTACTGGGAACCTGTCACGGTAACAGACAATCTTTACACTAGAAAGTCTTATGATCTAGTAGGTTTGCATATTTTTTAGAAAAAAGCATCATTCTGAAGAAGTGGACTTTTCCATGCTTCGAAGTGGAGCGAGGCATCCACCGATGCCTCATATAATGCCACATAGTGTAAGGCTTGTGCTCTGCAAAATGAGCAAAGCAATGAATGCCGTATTTACTTATACTGTCAGGGGGAGTTTGTATAATGCTTCTTCATGACACAGTTGCATTAAATGACAGTTGCCTCAGTCCTGTCAAAAAACAGAACCGAGTAAATACACTAACCAAAGAAGTTCCTGGTATGGAAAGACAAGACCTCTAAAATTAAATTCCCATCACCAGCACCCAATGCCTTACCTGTAAAAGGCACTTGATTCTCTCTCCTGGAGCCATGATTGCTGTTGTGAACACTCCCGACAACATGCCAGCAGCAAACAGCTGAGGATATCTGCCCCGAGGAAACAGAAGAGACCCTGACACAACACAGTACGTAGGAAACACAGGGCAGAAAGAGCCCTGTATGACTAGATTATGCTGTTCCACACGAGGTTGGCAGTGGAACTAGAACTGCATTTACTGCTTTTGATCAGTGCAAAAGTGCCTCATCAATGCACAATTAGAGCTAAACATTTAGGACCTCTAGGATTCAAAATGCTGGTTCCCACAGCAATCATAAACTCTGCTCTTCACATCCATTGTGAAGAGCTAATATTCCTTGTACTCACATTTTTTGCTATAGCACTCCCCATTCATTTTTATCCCAACAGCCTCTTTCTCCTCCAGTCTCCCACACTCTTCCCAGCGATCCCAGCTTCCACACGTATTCCTGCTTGTGCAGCCAGGAGTCTCCTTTCTGTCACCTCTCAGCCCCTCACTCCTTCAGCCTCTGCCACCATTGAGTCTGTCCTGCCAACCTGCCATCATCCCACACACTCTGCATCTGCTTGCATGGGCCAAACTCTCTGTGACCAAAGTCTCTTAAACAGGCTGAGTTTCTCCATCATAAACTTATCTTTACGTCCAACCTCCTGCTACCTTCCCTAGAAATATGACCTAAGATCTTAATTTAACTGAACTCCACACCTCCTGCTTCTCTCCACTTGCCTAAGAGATGGCATTCTATTCAGGTTTTCCAATTCTTACACACCTTTCTTTACTCTTAAACTCCCTTTAAAGAGCTCCAGAAAAGACAGAACAGGCTCCTCAAGTTTCTCTCCATCTCCTTACTTCTAAAACTTCCCTTCAAAATCAGCATGGGGAACCACTGCCATCATGCCTGCCTCTAGACCCATAACAATGGTGCTGAGTCTGACCTTTATTTTTGGGCCTCACCACCCAAGCACACTGTATCTTACTGCGTCAGGTCTGCACCCACAGTACAGCACAGTTGGGCACAATGACAGTTCCACCACCTATTTGTTCTTTCTCCCCCACTACTCCGCTCGAGAGGACTTCTACATAAAGACTCAAAAAACTACGCTGCCCTTCTCCAGCTTGCTCCTTAAACCTTCCCTTTGGTACGACGTGTATAAAACACAAGGCACTGGGGTAATTAGGCTGCTGGAAATAAGCCCACAACCCATTGTTTCCATGCATTGTCCACTCCTTACTGTTCCCCTGGTCTTACCCTTCAGCCTTGTCTGCAGGAGGACACTACTGTGGTAAAACAGAGGGTAAGCTAGCAGTGCCCCTGCGCCTGCCCAAGCAGAGGGAGCTTGCTCCGTCTCACTGCTGCGGCTACTGCTGTACAATGGCCCCTGCGCCGGCAAGGCTCCATCAAAAACCGCACCTCCCCACCCCTCCACGCTCGGCTCAACACAATGAACTCCTGCATGCTGACAGGGCTCCTACGTATTGCACAAATAATAGAATAAAATGTTGCTAAGCTACAGTTCTGTTCCTGGAGAGCTATAAATCACAACTCCACAAAGAAGTTAAGGCTGCACTTCATGGGTGGGGGGCTTTCTTCATGCATAAGTTAGCTTGTAGAAAGCCACACAAAGTTTTTTTAGCTTTCCATCTCTTTTCCAGAAGGTTAGACATGCCTGAGAGGAAGGCTGCTCATAAACACTGCTTTTCCAGAATTAATAATAGAATGTTTCTACGGCTATTATTGTAACTTAATATAAGGACACAGCAAGAGTCACAACTAACAGGGAAAAGAGAATCAGGACTGTGAGCGTTGTCAGGACAGCTTGACCATGAATTTACTTCTCCCATAGTTTCTGTTAATAGCAAGGCTGTTGGCCGGCAATCATTATATAACTCGCACTGTACTCCTCTAAAACGGAATTGTTCCTTAATGGCTCTTTCTTGCGTAGAAGGGGAATTGCATAGCACCTGCCCACATGCTGTCTTTTTTTAGCCCGTGCTATCAGTCCCACACTTTCAGAACCATTAACACACACCAGTGTTTTATTTGTTAGAACTATATTTAGAATCTAGAAGAAGAAAGAAATTTACACCACAATTCAATGTGTGACAATACAGCAGGCTGCAAGAGCCTTAGGGTGCCTTTCCCAACTGTCTGATTAACTCAGAAACTCACGTCAAAACGTCATCAGGTTTTCTCTGTTGGAGTCTTTTTCCCAAGCCAAATCCAAAGAAGCACACAGCAAACATGGGTGTCACTCCGATAATAGGAGCTGCCATTCCTCTGTATAAGCCTCGGACTCCCTGCAAGAAACGTTACCACAACAGTTACTTGGTTTTGCATAGACTTCGCACACATTTCAACTCATTGAGAAGCGAAAGGCGACAATACAGGATAGTACCCTCAGCAGGTTTGCTGATGACACCAAACTGGGAGGAGCGGTGGATACACCGGCAGGTTGTGCTGCCATTCAGCGTGACCCGGACAGGTTGGAGAGCTGGGCAGAGAGGAACCTGATGAAATTCAACAAGGACAAGTGCAGGGTCCTGCACCTGGGGAGGAACAACCCGATGCACCAGCACAGGCTCGCGGTGGACCTGCTGGAGAGCAGCTCTGTGGAGAGGGACCTGGGAGTGCTGGTGAATGACAAATTGACCATGAGCCAGCAGTGTGCCCTGGCTGCCAAGGAGGCCAATGGGATCCTGGGATGAGTTAAGCAGAGTGTGGCCAGTAGGTCGAGGGAGGTTCTCCTTCCCCTCTACTCTGCCCTAGTAAGGCCTCATCTGGAGTACTGTGTCCAGTTCTGGGCTCCCCAGTGCAAGAAAGATGAGGAGCTACT